CCCCCCCGGCGCGCCGCCGAGCCCCGCGGAGGGATGACCCTCTCCGGCGGCGGCAGCGCAGGCGACATGTCCGGCCAGACCGTGCTGACGGCCGACGACGTGGACATCGATGTGGTGGGCGAGGGCGACGACGGCCCGGACGGGGGCAAGGACAGCGACGCGGGCTGCTGCGACAGCCCCGCGGGGCCGCCGGAGCCGCGCCTGGACGAGGCGGACGACGGGCCGCCGCCGGCCACCCATCCTCCCCATCCCCATCCTCCCCATCCCCGCGCCCAGCCTCAGCCTCCGGCCCCGTCGCTGCCCGCCGAGGTGGGCCCGGGAGTCGAACCGGCGGGAGCCCCGGAGGCCGACGGCTGCAAGGGCGGCGGCGAGGACGCGGGGCCCGGCGGCGGCGGCGGCGCGGCGGCGGGGCTGGCGCCCAGCAAGCCCAAGAACAGCCTGGTGAAGCCGCCCTACTCGTACATCGCGCTCATCACCATGGCCATCCTGCAGAGCCCCAAGAAGCGCCTGACGCTCAGCGAGATCTGCGAGTTCATCAGCGGCCGCTTCCCCTACTACCGGGAGAAGTTCCCCGCCTGGCAGAACAGCATCCGCCACAACCTCTCCCTCAACGACTGCTTCGTCAAGATCCCCCGCGAGCCGGGCAACCCGGGCAAGGGCAACTACTGGACGCTCGACCCGGAGTCCGCCGACATGTTCGACAACGGCAGCTTCCTGCGGCGCCGCAAGCGCTTCAAGCGCCAGCCGCTGCCGCCGCCGCACCCGCACCCGCACCCCCACCCGGAGCTGCTGCTGCGCGGCGGGGCGGGCGCGGCCGCGGACCCCGGCGCCTTCCTCTCCGGCTTCGCCGCCTACGGCGCCGCCTACGGCTACGGCTACGGGCTGGCGCTCCCGGCCTACGGCGCCCCCCCTCCGGGCCCGGCCCCGCACCCGCACCCGCACCCGCACGCCTTCGCCTTCGCCTCGGCCGCGCCCCCGCCCGGACCCCCGACGGCCTCGGTGTTCGCCGGCGCGGCCTCGGCTCCGGCCCCCGCGCCCGCCCCGGGTTCGGGCCCGGGCCCCGCGGGGCTGCCCGCCTTCCTAGGCGCGGAGCTGGGCTGCGCCAAGGCTTTCTACCCCGCGTCCCTGAGCCCCCCGGCGGCCGGCACGGCGGCGGCCAGCCTGTCCACCGCGCTCCTGCGCCAGGGCCTCAAGACGGACGCCGGCGGCGGCGCGGGCGGCGGGGGCGCGGGCCAGAGGCCCTCCTTCTCTATAGACCACATCATGGGTCACGGCGGCGGCGGGGCCGCCCCCCCGGGCAGCGGCGACGCCTCCCCGGGATCGCCGTTCGCGGCGGCCGCGGGTCCGGGGGGTCAGGCCCAGGTCCTGGCCATGCTGACTGCCCCGGCCCTGACTCCGGTGGCGGGCCACATCCGCCTCTCGCACCCGGGGGACGCGCTCCTGTCTTCGGGGCCCTCGTTTGCCAGCAAAGTCGCCGGCCTCAGTGGCTGCCACTTTTGACCGCGGCGGGCTCAGGGCCACTGAGGCCCTCACTCCTTAACCTCTCGGGGGAGCTCGGCCGGTCCCAGCGGAATTCAGGGAGTCTATTTATGAAGAGTCTTCGGACCGAGGCCGGCGGCTTGCCACCAGGCACTTGGAGCTGCGCGCTCGCTCGCTGGTTCGGAATGTCACCGACCGTTGGGACGAAGCGGGCCTCTGCGGCTCTCTCTGGTCGAGGCCCGGGTCTACGCAATAGGCTCAAAGCAGATCCCTTTTCTGTTTGAGCGGCAAAAATAAAGGGAGTAGGAACCTTCGCTTCTTCTTGCCTCTGCACCTCTCACAGTCGGAGAAGAATGCTTTGGTAGGGAGATGCCTGTCGGTTAGCGGAGCCCGCCAGAAACACCTATGGCTTGAAACCCCCCTCCCAGTCCCCCATTTCTTCCTCAACTTTGAGACCAGCTCATCCAATATTATAATTTAAAGACATCTGTTATCTGCTTTGTGCTTAAGAGAAAAATTCTTTTTTTTTTTTTTTTTTTGCTGTTCTTCAAGGAAGCTGGTTTCATCCAAGCCTAAGGCAGTGACGACACGGTCGGGAAGCTGAGAGAAGTGAATCCAGGGTCTCCGAAATCCTTGAAGAAACCGCAGAGCCCACCCCCTTGGAGGAAATTTTTTCCCCCTTTGGTGTTCGGCTGTTTTTCAAAGAGCTCCCTTTTGGCCTTTCCCGTGGTCCACAGGCCCAGCCATCCAGGGCTAGCGGCCTTCTTGGCCTTCTCCTCTGCCCCAGGCCCTGTGATATTTATTGTAGTTAAAGGCAATGAGTTTGGGTGGGAGAAGAGGGTCTGGGTCAGGCTCTGGAGAGGTGGGAACTGGGTGGGCAAGGGCACGGAGCTGTAGCAGGGGGTTCTATGTTATGTGTAAATATCTGTGCAGCGGGCTGCCCCCTGCATTCTGTCCACTGGTGTGCATTGATTTAGACGCCTCCACTTAGTGGAGACTCTGTGAAATCGTCTGATGGTCTGTGTGGAAGAAAAGAAAACTGTCTCCCTCTCCCTTTTCATCGGTGTCAATTGAATAAATGTATGTGAACTTAGCCGTCACCAGCTCTATCTGCTTGCCTGTACTCCCTCGTCCTTGTCAGAGTTCCCCCAGAAGACCCGAAGCTCTCCCCGCAGAGGAGGAGGGGGAAGGAGCTAGCCTCGCAAACCCAGCTCTGAGCTGGTCAGATGATGGAGGGAGGCTCTGCACACCGCTGTGGCCTTCTGCTTCAAACTGGGCCAGGTCTCTGGAAGCCCGTGGCCACTCCAGCACTTTCATTTTCACTCTGGTACAAGGAAGGGCAAAAGCTTGGGGCTGGGCAGAGGGATTCTGTTTCCTCTAGTTTAGATTTTAGTGTGGCCTGGGCAGATTCAAGTGCTAAGGACTGGATCACGGTGCCCAGCGAGGACAAGTCTGTGTCTCTTGAAGCATATTTTATATGACTCTCTGTTTCTGTTTGTGCATGGGCCTTTTATGGCGCTCTTGGTTTCTTTTTGTGTTGGTCTTGGTTGCTCTGTTTTTTGTTTGTTTGTTTTGCTTTTATGTATGAGAGGTGGCTTTCAGGCACGTTTGAGCTTGCATTTTTATGTCTGTCCATGAATATGTGCTTTGCAGTGCTCAGTCACTGTCTTTAATGGGAGAGCGGCTTGTTGCCCCTAGAGGGCCTTCAGAACCCCCACTCCCACACACTTCTGACAGTGGAAGGCTTTATTTAGGGACTCTCCAAAATGAATTAGAACCTTCACTCTTACCCAGCTTGAGTGGGCCAGAGGATATGATCAACTAAAGAGTGGCCCTCTTTACTGTAGGGGTTCACTCTGCCCAGGCATTTCATAGCCAGAAGCGCCTGCCCAAGGACAGACCTTCTGGTCTGATTGACTACCCACAGTGCATTGGACCTGCAACTCTCTGCCTTGTGCTTGGGGTTCCCAATCTGCAAACACTGTGAGTGAAGGTGAGACTTTGGGTGGAGCAGAGAGGGTTATTCCTTTTTTCTGTATAGTCCGCTGGGGTTGTAGGAGAGACCCGTGGAAGAGGCATTTAAAAAAAAAAAGCCTTTAAAAAAATAAACCTGATACAGTGGGGGCAAAGTCTGGAAGATAATAACAGAGAAGAAGAAGTCAGCGTCAGAGATACAGGCGCAAAGGACTTGAGGGTGTTGACACAGAAGTTACCCAGAACTCCCTAGCATCCCACAGAAAGAGACTGTGCGTCAGGATATGAGTGGGGAGAGTTGGGAAAGGATTGTTGAGGTGTGAGGGTTCCTCCTCACTAAAGGCGGGGAGACTCGTTCTGGTGTGTTAGTGTGGTGAACAGAATCGGTTCTGCACAGAGGCCAAGGGTCCCTCTCTGGTCTCTGAAAGACTAAGGGCTCAGGGAGATGGAATGCAGCAGGCTACCTTTCTACCATCTCCTCAGATAGTCCAGAAGTAAGATTAGGACCAGTAGGTCCGGAGTGAGGAGTATTTGCCAGTACTGAGTAATGATCTCTGACTGGCTGCTTCACCGGCTTCCATTGCTCCACATTTGATGAGTATGGTTTCATTTCTTTTTACTCGAGGAGGGACGTATGTGGCCAACACAAAGCACTGAACATGTTTGTGTGTGTGTGTGTGTGACACACGAGGGAATCTGTTTGCTCTGAAAAAGAAAAAAAAAAGCACCTTTCAACTTCATGATCTCCTCGCCATGAGTATTAAATATAGATATTAGTTTGGAATATTAGATTCTACATATTAGCTTGGAGTTTTGAGTAAAGACTTATCAGTTGGCTCATTCTCTGTCTAGAAGAGATAAAGTCAGATGGAATTTATATTGGATGGTAGACAGGTAGGCGAGCTATGGCTGGCTATAACTGACTGCTACTAACAGGAGAAGTGGAAGATTCTTCTATGAGTTGCTATCTGTCCTGGTGCTTGTGTGTGTGTGTGTGTGTGTGTGTGTGTGTGTGTGCGCGCGCGCGCGCACCAACAGTAGAAATATGGGGTTTCAGGAAAGGTTTTTTTTTTGGGGGGGCTCTTGGGGCCCCAGGGACCTTCTATTTAGACTCTAGTTTCCCAATGAATCAACAGGCCAATCCTGGCCCAGAGAAACCACCCATGCTCAGCTGGCAACCGTAGAGAAGGTCCCAGGTGCTTAAAAGCAAGGGAGAAGGGGAGTATTTGAAATTTTGGACCCCATTAGGTTGTGCTCAGAGCTAAGATGTCGGGAGCTGGGAACTGAAATGCAAGAGGGGAGTGGTTGCGGGATTTGTGTGCTAGAACTCTCCGGGGTTGCCCTTGCCATTCTGGAGGTGCTCATTCAGCGACTTTCCCCCATCTGTGGGTGCCTAGGGCTGGTGTGGGCTCAGTTAGGGGCCCAGCTCCCTGGGAGGTGAAACAGGTCTTCCCTCCCCACGGGAGTGGAGGCAGCTGAGGTCTGTCGCCCCATAGGTACCCACAATTGGTGACAATAATAAGAAAATATCCAGGGCACACCTTGATCTCTCCAAGGTGAGAAAAAAAAAATGGTAAGAAATCAGCCTGAGGTTCAGTGAGTGCTGTTGAGAGCGGGCAGTTTAAAGGGGAAGAAAATTGGCGAATTTCACTGGTCAATTTCACTTCATTTCGTTCAATTTCGTTCAATTTCATTTCTTTTCATCCGGCGCCTGGAGGCCCGAGGCCATAAGGAGGGGGAGGGGGAATCTTCCCGGGCAGAATTTCTCCCTCTCGCAGATTTCCTTTCTACAGCTGTGAAGAAGTCTTGATTCTCCAACTTTGACAGAGGGTTTTCAGCGGTGGCTAAGGGCAGACTTTATTTTATCGACCAGCATTCGGTTTGAGTGATTGAGGCCCGTCGGCGAGGCTGTCGGCCAGTCTCTGTTACGACCCAATTAAAACGGTTAATTCTTTTCACCACGTATCCCTCCCCATCTCTCTTTCTTTCTCTAGGGGCTCCCCCCAGACCACCCAGGAGCCGGAGTTGGAGGGGGACACGTCCCCTCCCTATCCAATTTGTTCTGCCATAGCAGGCGCGTCTTCGTCTTTTTGGTTACCAAGCGCTTTTCCCTCCCGGTGACTTTTTTTCCCCCTTTTCGAAAACACTTCTTACCTCCACCCTCCCCTTCAACTCCCAACCCTCCGCGACCCCCGCCTCCTCCCTCCGAGCTCGGGTTTATTTAAACTTCGCCTCCTCCAGCGCCGCCCGTAACGCTCTCTCAATGAAGTTGAAGGCTCGGTGAGCCGAGGTGAAGAGGGTTTGGAATCTGTTGAAAGGGGCGTTTTGTGACACTGATTGGGGCGGGGGCGGGGGCCAGTCCAGAAAGGACAATGACCGACCGGGCTGTTTCCCCTGCGCCGGGGGTCAGGCGAAGAAAGGCGTCGCCGCAGTTTGAACGAAGGTCCCTGCGAGAGAAAGAAAAGGTTTGGAGCGCGGAGCGTGCCCCGTGAGCTCCAAGCTCGGGGGGCGGTGGGAGGAGGCGGCGCGCCCCGGTCTGCGGCGACCCGGTTCGGACTTTCCCCCCAACCCTGCGCTTTCCGCGGAGAGAGGCGAGGAGAGTTTGGGTTTGCGTCTAAATTATTTCCATGCGTGCTTCAAAAGGCTGTTTAGGCTGGGGACTGGGGAGGCGGCCGGGAGGGCTAACCGGGACGGTGAGACCCAGCCCACATTTGTCTCCGGGGCTGGCCTTGTGAGGTTCCTGAAGAGACGCAAAGATGGCCAAGGGCGGGTGGGAGATTTCGGTTCCTTAAGCTTTCGCACATCAGTGTTTGAGGACAGACAGATGATTGGATTTTGGAGCTAGTGCTTCTAGTTGTTTATTATTATTATTATTATTATTATTATTATTATTATTATTATTATT